ATTAATAAATTCTGCCTGCTTTATCTTTTTTAAAAAAATCCTGAATTTTACCACATTTCTGTCTTTACCACTGTCATCCTTGTCTAAGCCACCATTTCCTTTCATCTAGAATAGATGATTGCAGTAGTCTAACTGGTCTCCCTACTCCTACCCTTATTCTTCTACAGTCTGTTCTCCCCACAGCAGAGTAATGAGTCAGATCATATCACTTCTCTGCTCACAGCCTTCCAATGATTTTTCTGTCTCACTCAGAATGAAAGACACAATGTTTATAAGGGCCTATAGAGCCCTATTGGAACCGGCACTCTCGCACACTTGCTTCGCACCAATTATGCTTGAACCTCAGGCTTTGCATTTACTGCATGTTCTCTGACTGGAATAATTTCCTCCTAGAATTCTGAATAGCTTCTGTACTCATTTCCTTCAGGTCTCTGCTTAGATGTCATTTTATCAATGAGGCCTTCCTATAACCTTTTGTGAAATTTTAATAGCAACTGTAACATGATCACAGGGGACATTATGTTTGCCTCTAACCTGCAGTTTTTAGCAGCGCCCCTATCACACATGATATGGAACCAGAATGCCTGGTTTGAATTTGGCTTTTCCACTTGCTGTGACTTTAAGCAAGTTTTTTAACCTCTCGGATCTTCAGTTTAACAAAAATGTTGAGATACTAATAGTATTTACCCAGGAGAGTTGTTATGAGAAATAAATGAACTTATTTAAATAAAATGCCAGTTACATAATATGTTCACATAGTGTTAGCTATTATCGTCATCTTCACCACCATTATTAATTGTCTGCTCCTATTAGAGTAGAAATTCTCAAGATCAGGGAGCTTGTTTCATTCACTGCGGCATCGCTGGTGCCTAGCGTGCAGTATGTTCTCAGTAAGTATTTGTTGAAGAAAGGAATCCCCGCAATAACCCTGGAGGTAGCTGTTCTTATCTACGTTTTACAGATTAGGAAATGCAGGCTTAAATAAATCAGTGCCTCAAGTCTTTTGACTCCCAAGTACAAGGAAGTTAAGATTATATATAAAATTCTTGCTCTCAAGAAATTAATAGCATATAAAGGGAGACATGTATACAGATAATTACAATGAAGCAGTACTAGCAACATACTGCTATAGAAGTGTGCATTTAAAAGTGTGGGTACCAAGGGCACGTGATGGAAAGGCAGATAAAGAAACTTTTACAGAGGCATTTAACATTTGAGCTAAGTCTTAAGAATTAAGTCTGCGTCTACCCAGTAGATGTGAGAGGGCAGATCAGGGGGAGCCTTGATGGCCTTGTCAGCAGATTGGATTTTATTCTTTAGGCATACTGGGAAACTCCGGGAAGAACCAAAGGACACAAAGTAACTTTGACGTGGTAAAATGTATTTAAGATAGTGGAGGAGGACAGAAACCTTTCCAATTTGAGTCACATGGTCAATTAAAGTGTTCCTTGACTAATTGTCTTTTCAAAGGGAACAACAGAGTGCTAAAAAAAAACCCCACCACACACACAAAAAAACAAAACAAAACAAAGGAAACAGCAATGGAGTGCTTTCCTAGAGGTAGGGAATAGATGTAGAGGAGACGTGTTCCCCCGCCCCCAATCCAGGAAGTGTCTTTTTCATCTCACCCACCTTCCTGTAGCTGCACTGTTCTGGAGGATTCCAGTTCCTGAGTTGATTTTTCTGTCAGGTGACATGACCCATTTGGTCATCAGAATGGCTTGAAAATTGGGAACGTATGAATTAGTTTCTATGATTCTCCCTTCTACTTGTTATGTAACACCAGTGAGTCTTTAAAGGGAAGGGGAGCTAATGGGCCCAGGTGGTTGGACTTTCTGTAGAGAAGAAAGTCTATGTGTGGCCTATCTATGTGTGGCCTATCTATGTGTGGCCTAGAAGCCAATGTAGTCTCTGAAGAATTACCTTTGAACTTTATACTTCCTCTTTATACTTCCTCTATTGTGGCTTACTTGGATCCTTCTGGAAGCATTCATTTCCTTTGGAATATTGTTCTATATTTGAGATTGAAGTCATAGTTTTATCATCCAGATCATGGTGACGTTGGTTAGGGCAGTGGTCAGTTGATAACCTCAGTCTATAGCCATTGAGCATCCTGGTTCTGGCCTTAACTCCAGGCCCTAACATGGCCTAGCTTACCTTAGATTCTGAGAAAATAGGCTAGGGCTTGCTGGGCAAATGCATGGCCAGCTCTGCTTTAAAATGGAAAGGGCTCAGCCACCAGGCCTTTGGGGTTTGAGGACTTACCCAGGTCCAGAGTGAGCTCATATACCTTCTGAGGAAGGAACAAACTCAGTCTGTGCTCAGCCAGCTCAGATGGCCTGTTGGAGTGGCCCTTGGCAACAGAGCTGGTCTGGTGGCCCTGGTGGCCCTGATCCTGCATGTAGGCTACTTTGGAAAGGGCAAAAGGTGACTAGAATCCCCAGGCAGACTTTGTCCTTTGGTTTAAGTAGCCAAACCTGGTATGTCCTACATTATAAAAGCAGGGGCCAGCAATATAAGATTCTGGGAGCTGGGCTTTGTGAACTGCCCAGTTCAGAGCACCTCTCCCTCTCCTCCATGTCCCTTGAGGTTTGCTGGCATTTTCTTTGGGTTCCCTGCTATAGGACTGAACCTACTAACCTCTCTGCCCGTTTTTTCTGCTCTTTCTCTCCTTGCAGAAGGAAAGCGAGGAGCCCTTCAGGTTGTGTGTCTGGCCTTTTGGGGCCTTTTTGCTGTCTATTCTCTACCCCTCTCTCCTGGCCCCGGGTGTTTGTGTGTGTGCGCCGAGTGCACATGATCTGTGCCTCTGAGCTTTGGCTGGGCAGATAGTCTGTTTTTCCTAAAAGCAGTGTGTGTGCATGCTCCATGCTTGTGTGTGCTCCTGCAGACATCCCTGGAGCACTGTGTGAGAATCTGTGTGCCAGCATGGTGCACATTCAATGTGGCATGTGTGTGCTTATATTTGTACTCAGTTTGACTCCCCAGATTGCCCTCCTCCTCTCCTACTTTGTGTGTCCATTTTCTACTTGTTGCTGTGCCTGGCATATGCTGTAAACCCTCTCTGAGCCCAGCATGCATATACTCTTTGTATTTGAGAGCAGGTGTTGCTGCAGGCATTTTGTTCTTCTTGCCGTGGCCCTAAGTGTGAATGTGCTTCTGAGCAGATCTCCTGGCTTCTTGTGAGCACAAGCTTCCATAGACCTGTGATGTGGTTCCCTTATGCCATGTGAATGCATACTATACTAATGCTCTGTGCCTGCAAGCACTGGTTCTTGAAGACTGAGAGGGTTTGCTTTGTCTATGATTTGGGCCCTAGTGAACACTGAATCCTCCCCAAAAGGGTGCGCACAGGTGCTATAGCCCTCTACAGAGCAGGATCCACGCTCACCTTGTTTCCCTCAGGCACAAGTTATATCTACGAATGTACCTCCTGTAGGTCCTTTGTCTAGATCTCCTTTCACTCCCCTGACCCTCCTTCAGTGCCCTGTGTGTGCATGCTGGTTGCTGTGTCTGCAGGCTTCTGCAGACCCACTGTATCCCTAAGCACAGGAAATGTGTATGATCTGAGCCAGTGAACCCTGGCTCCCAAAGACTCTTTGTGACTTTGTTTCCTTAAGCCCAGTGCTTTCTGGCAAGCATTTAATTCTAGGTAGGACATAAAAATCTGCTCAGTACAGCAGTTGTTTTTCAAAGGGAATAGAAGTTCTGGTTGGTAGGACCTGGGGACTTAGAGATGGCCATCACTCACAAAACAACCTTAGGAGACTTGCTTCAGCCACTTCTGGCTGCCTTTTGGGTTTGGCCCTTTCTTTACCAGTATCCTACCCACAGGCCAGGGCAGGAGGCAGATAGGCTTGACTAGGGCACAGACAACCTGAGAAGAGTCCTAAATCCAAAGTTCATTTTGAGCTGACCTAAGGTAGTTCTTGCCAGCTTTTACATCATCCATTAACCTGTCATACCTCTCCCTTTTCTACTCTGTCTTGCCTCATTCAATCTATAACTTCTCACATCTTTAGCACTCCCCAAACTTCACCCCCTGTCCAGAGCAATTTACTTGTGCCTCCCTTGTACTGGAGCTCATGTGCTCCGGGATAGTTAGTGAGAGCCCAGGTCTCAGGTGGCAGGGAAGTTGGTGGTGGTGGAGGGGAACAAGGTAGGGCAGGAAGCCCCAGACCTACTCGCATGGGTCCTTTGAGCCTAAACAGTATTTGCCATTGGTTCTCAGGAGAGCCCTGGCAGCTTTGGAACTCTACACTGCCTGAAGGATTTGCTTTGGGTATTTTGGTGCAGAAACCTTTAAAAATTGTTTTCAACCTGTTTCTTCCTTGAATTATTTGGTACCTCAATGTTCAACTTCTCATTAGAGAACTCATAAAATTTACCAGAGTGATAATCCAAGTGTCTAACTTGTCTTGGATACTCTGGTAATATAGAACTTATCAAATGTTGAGTGAACTCAGTGTCAATGAGTTCGGGCTTCAAGGAACCTAAGCCAAGTCAAGTCACAAGATGAGAGGAATTGAGAAGACCAGGTTGACTGTGACAGCCAAAGGAATTTAGGAATATAACTGGAAGAAGACCAGATTCTATATGAAGTTGTCTTTTTGCTTCAGTGAGGCCTGGAAGCCTAAATGGATCCTTTTCCCAGCTTTGGTTACTGTTACATATACTAATGGGTTGTGTGTCGGGGGATATAAATTCTGGCAGCTCTCACAGTCCCAGTAGACTTTAGCCCAAAGATTTCAGTGAGCTTGGCCTTGTATCCTTCCTATTCATTCGGGAGAGGGGAGATGAAGTACTGCTCATTTCAGCAGCCTGCTTGTTGCCTTTGGCTCATCAGGGCATTGGCCTAGACATCAGGCTAGCTATGTCACCACATGGTGTATGTGACCTACACCCCTCTGAGCCTCCTGCTTTACTGCTCACTGCCTTACCAAAGAAAGATGGCAGTCTCCTTTCTTTCCTAGGATCTAACTTTTTTCTATCTGTTTTTAAAGATTCCAGATGATGGCGACTCCTCTTTGCCCCAGTGGCTCCCAGAAGGGTAAGTGATTCTTGCAAGGTTTCTGTGGATCTTGTATAGACCTTAATGCTGCTTTTAGCTTTTCCCCTGGGAAGTAGGAGAAACAACTTCATACGCTTGATCCTGGGGAAGAAAGATATTCCACTGTAGGGATTGATTGGTTCTCTGGGTCAGAGGAGAGAACTCTGCAAACTGATTACTGAGAGGCAGAAGAAGAGAGAGCTTTACCAAGTGGTTCCCTGGAGCAGGGGAGGGGGCTTGAGGGCTCCCCCATTCTTGCCTGTGGAATTTCTGATCCATTGCATAGGGGTGATTACTCTAGGTAGAAGATAGCAGTAGCTGATTAGATTTCTCCCTGGGCTCTGTCCTGCTTTAGCTGTTGTGAGTCACCTACTTGTTCCATTTCACTCTAGTCAAGACATAAGTAGCATCCCTTATGAGCTCTGTGTGTTCGTCTGTGCTTCTTATCTGGGAGTTTCAGACCCATGTGACTGCAGCAGAGAGTCATTTTAAACTGCTCAACTGCTGCTTGTTCTTAAGAGAGAAAATAATTTAAGTGCTTCTCTACCTCCACTTCCCCCACATGTACTGCCAATTCATTATTTGTCAGGATCTTTCTTCTCTCCCACAAAGACCTTCTGACATTAGAATTCTCAGTGGCTGCCTCCTCTCCCTCATGACCAGAGGAGAAAAAAGATCAGATCATAATTTTATCTATTACATTTTTATGTGCTCCTTTTCCTTGTGATTTGTCTTTTAAATCAAGAGTTAATCATGTGAATGAACCACCCTTCTTTCGTCAAAAGCTCATCTATGTTGCAAAAAACTTCATGTCTTAAATGGTCTATATTATAGTTTTTAGAATTAGCCACAAACTCGTGGCACTAGTTGTTTCTTCAGCAGCCCTTCTTCAGGGCTTTAGCTTTTCCCTCTAATAATTGTAAAATACATGCATGCCAATGGAACATATCCAAGCTATTTTTAAAGGGAGCCATGCAATGATTTTCTAAATGCCTCCCTATTGTTGTCTTTCCTTCCTTCAGCTCAGTCCTTGGAAGCTCCCTGGGTCTGGTAGTCTCATTGAAAACAAAGTTCACTGCCTGTACTCAAGAAGCGACTTTATTAGAAATCAACATATCAGGTTGCCTGTTCCAACTCCTGGCCTTGACCCAAATTGTGGCTCCATTTAAAAAAAAATTTTTTTTTGGCCTTTATTGCTGGCGGTACCTGCTTATTCTTCTGAGATATACCTCTTTTCAGACTAGTGGTGGTGTACAACCCAGCCACCCCACATTTCCCACCTCATTGCTCTCATTAAAACCAAGTGCATGAGTTCTTTTCATTGAGACTAAGAATGGCAGCTTCCAAAAGGTCAGTGAAATACTGTAGTTCATCCCCCTCATGTTATAGAAGTGACACCAAGACCCCAAAAGAGGAAGGAATTTTGGCAGAGGACATGTAGAGAGTTAGTAGAAGAGTTTGGGATAAAATCTGGCTTATCTCAATGTGAAAATGGTGTTCTTTAGGGGACATTCTTTGTATTTTTGTTGGATATTGTTATGGAAGAACAGACAAAGAACAATAACGTTAATAAACATAGAAAAATGTAAAAATTTTAGAAATCTCCAGCTATAATTTTTTCTTGGTCCCTGTTGATGTGTCCATAGGGATAGACCGGACACTGAGTTCTTTTCCTGTTTCCTTCCTAAATGGTCTTTTAGAAGTCTCCATCCCACCTCCCCTGCCTCCACTTTCTGATGTGGGCTCCTTTTTCCATGGAGACGATCTCCTTGTACATGTCATTATTTGGTAGTCTTGCTCACCTAGGCAGCAGCTCTTCTGTAGAGCTATTCCTATGGGCTCTGTTCTAGCACAGGCCAAGAAAGGCTTATTTTGGGGGAGCAGTGCCTCTGGCCTGAGTGTAGAGAAGAGCCCTCTTACCCATCAATTCCCACCTTGCCTTGTGGAGCATAAGGTCCTTCAGATAAACAGAGCTGCCTGTCACTATGGGATAAAAGATCTCTAGGTCCTTGGCTAAAACCATAGAAGGAGACAGGTAGGTGCACTCTGAGAGCAGATTCCATTGCTCATCATCCCATGGCTTTATTTCCCTCACTTCCTGTCTTCCTTACCCCCCTTGAAAGCACATCTTCCTCCGGGGAAAAGGTGAGCAAGGAAAATGGACAGGACTAAAGGTTCTGACATATTTTCTTCCCTCCTCAGGCCAGCAGGAGGGCTCTATGGCATTGACAGCATGCCAGATCTACGCAGAAAAAAGCCACTGCCACTTGTCAGCGATCTGGTGAGTGAAACTCTTGTGCAGGCTTAGGCTGTATCCTCGGGGTAGCCCCCATTGGACCTTGGCAAGCTATCAAAACTGGTAGTGGTCCATTTAGTGACAAGTATTGGTCTGAAGAGCAATCATTTTTTAATTTTTATTGATTTCAGAGAGAGGAAGGGAGAGGGAGAGAGAGATAGAAAAATCAATGATAAGAGAAAATCATCTATTGGCTATCTCCTGCATGTCCCCTACTGGGGATCGAGCCCATAACCTGGGCATGTGCCCTGACCAGGAATTGAACCATGATCTCCTGGTTCGTGGGTCGACACATCCACTGAGCCACACCAGCCTGGCAGAAGACCAATCATTTAAAGACTTACTGAGACTTAGTGATGGCTTCAGTGAGACTTTGTTTTACCTCACTCCCTATAGAACCCGAGGTTCTTCATGAGCGCAAGCTCCCACCTGGAACATTGAAGGCTTAGGCCCTCAAAGCTGGGCTCTGTGGTTATATTCTAGGTATCTCGTTCTTCTAGGTATCTCTATAGCCTTTTTTTGATGACTTAGAATGGAAACTGCCTCTAGCTCCGACCTAGATCATTGAGCTTGGCATGTGATGAGCATGGCTGGTACAACTTCTTGGAGGTCAAGTGGCAGTCTCCTCCCAAGACATAGGCTTTCTAGACTATCTCTGTGCCCCTAGTTCTTCTTAGTGTCTGTCACTGAGAAGTAATGATAAAAATTTGTAGAATCGAATTGAAATGGGCTTAGGAGTTAAAGCTGATCTCAGGACCTCCAGGATGATCAGAAATTCTCATTTTGGGTTGTACGTCCTGAGGCAGGATTAGCTCAAGGAATTTTCCATAACAGAGTGGATAGTGGGTTTAGAGTGGAGTACAGGCTCTCCCAGAGCTCTGGAACTAGATGTTCAGTAAGACTTTTACCCTTTTTCTTGTTACCATGTCTGCTCCTCTTTTCCTCTCCCTATTCAGTCTGTTTTTCTGTCCACCTCTTTTCTCGTTTCTCCTCCATTCTCTGCTGTTTTTCCACCCACGAGTTTCTTTCTCTTTAGTTGGCTGAATGGAACTATACTCTGCCATTTTCTCTTAATCATTTTTTCTTTCCTACTATTGTGTATCTTCTTGTTTCTTTTTTTCTTCCTTTCAAATGCACCTCTTCTCCCACCAACTCTTCATCAAGCTGGTTGGATGAAGATACGTTCTGATGCTATCTCTTCTTAATTACAGTCTTTCATTGTCTTCTGTCTCCCCTTTTTTCTCTCCTTTCTTTCTTTTCTCCCTATTTTTTCTCATTCTCTACTCCCTCTTGCCCACCACCTCCTCTTTGCTTAACTGTTTGGATAGCAGCGTCTCATTCAGTTCTTATTTTCCCTCCTCCATCTTTTAATCTTTCCTATATTTCACTTTCTGGCATAACTCTTCTAATAGAAGCTCTAGGCCTTACACCCAGGCTACCTGTTGAATTGAAGACAATTCCATTGGATAGAGGCAGAAAGTTTTGGAATGTGTTTCCTACATTGGACTATAGAGAAGAACCTCTCAGTTGCCTCTGAAGGTGTTTTTGGTTTTTTGTGTTTTTTTTTTAATGCCCTTGGGGTAGCTTTAACATCATGTTGTTCCTTTTTCTGCTTTCCTCTGCACAGGCAATGGTGAGTGTCTCCAGAGCCCCGTTCTAACCACTATTAAGAATCTATATTTCAAACCACCCGGCCCCTCCTAACTGTTCTTCCTGCTTAGACTAATATTTTTATTCTGTCTGCCCAGTGTCCACTACGTTAGGGAAACCATGTGCCTCTTCATGGGCTGCCCGTAATGCTTGGGCTTGGCATACATGAAGCCCCTCTATACAAGGGACAGGCTAGCAGGGCGCAGCCCTAGTTCTCATACTTACCCCCTTGCCCTGCTTGATTTGGCTGAGGGTACATTGCCCCGTTTACTTTCGTAGTTCCCTGCTCATTTGAACTGCTGACATCTAAAGCCACCTGGGGTTGTGTGGGCATGATGTGGTACCAGGGGATAGATGATAGCATGGAATCGTTCTCAGGGATGGCTCTTGAATGCAACTCTGACAGAGTTGTGTGTTTATTCTATTCTTAATGACCTACTTCCTACTGTAATTCTAAACTTTTCATTTTTCTTTGCCTTTCTATAAACAAGGGGTAAGATACCTTTGGATGATAGGTACCCTGAGAGAAGTGCTTTTCTAATATTGTTAGAACAGTCCTCTGAGGGCCTTGGGTTTTGGGTCTTAACCTGGGATGCTGTTATCTATTACCCATGGGTAAAAATAGAAGGCAGTAAGTTATAGTCAGTTTGCTTTGATCACTGAAACTCCCTTCCCAGGACTTTGCCAGTCCTTGGTGGTAGCCAGGACTGACAGTAGGTCTTCCCTTACAGTCATTGGTCCAGTCCCGGAAGGCAGGGATTACTTCTGCAATGGCTACCCGTACCTCTTTCAAGGATGAAGAGCTGGTAAGTGACCCCTGGGCTTTCATGAATCCACTGGCCTAAAGATCTAGCCATCCACTGGTGATCACCTCTGTAGCCGTACGAATTGAGAACTCAACAGTGTAGGGCATACATCGTTAATGGAACAGATAGATAGCACTGGGTCTCAGCCTTCCACACTGGGAAAGGCGAGGGACCAGACCAGGGGTAAGCCCAAGTCTCATGTGGGAGTATGGACCACTGAACTCGGGGTATTATAGTGGGTCTAGAACCCTATGTTTCCCAAGACACCTTGAATGCTGGGGCAAGGCTCAGAATCAGTATTCAGGTCAGACCTGTCTTTCATGACCTGGAGCACACAACATATGGGGGCTTCTTTCTGCCAGGCTGGACTATGCACTGCGTCATTCTAGAGCATCTTCTCTACTACCAGAGGGGAAACCATGGTCTTGATTGCCCTACAAGGTCTCATTCTGGTATCTCCCAGCAGAGACCCAAAGTCACTGGTGGGTAATGGTATGTATCTTTCAGAAATCCCATGTGTATAAGAAAACCCTGCAGGCCTTAATCTACCCCATCTCGTGCACCACACCCCACAACTTTGAGGTCTGGACTGCCACTACCCCGACCTACTGCTACGAGTGCGAAGGCCTGCTCTGGGGCATTGCCCGGCAGGGCATGCGCTGCAGCGAGTGTGGAGTCAAGTGCCATGAGAAGTGCCAGGACCTGCTCAACGCTGACTGCCTACAGCGTGAGTGCTCTTGTGGGATGAGGGGTGGGGAGCACGGGCGGCAGGGCCTCTCCAGAGTAATCTGTCAAACAAGAGCTAGGATGGCTGGACGTCATTCCTCCCGCCTACCTCATTCTGAAGCTCTTTCCTTTTCAGAGAATGTAGAGCCCTGAGTCAAGTGCATGGCCTTTCCAAATAACTGGTTTTATAGCACTTTCTTAAGCACCTTTAGAAAGAATTCTTTGAGTTTTCTAAGGCCCTTTGGTGGAACTAGAATCTCTTCAGGATTCAGATGATCCCAGAGGCTGCACTTGAGTAGTGTACACACCACAGTGGCCACAGTTCCTAAATGACTAGAGCATGTTTAAATGGGGACCAAAACTAATGAGGAAAGAGAATTCTGTGAGAGGAACTCTCAGTGTTAGGCCTCAGAGAGGAACTTCCTGAAGTATAGACCCTAGGATCCAGGGAAGGCAGCATTTATTCCATGCTTATGGATGCAGCTTTTAAACAACAGGTCTTTGCATTAATTGCTAGCAGCCAAGTGGGCTGCTTGCCAGAAACCTTCTGAAATGCTGCTGTGTAGCAAGAGTGTCGATTTTCTCAAGGGCCTTTCAGAAGTTCCAATCCAAGGGCGTAGTATGGGATAGGATGTGCTAAATGGATGCAGCCCAGGTCAATTTTCATTTATCAGCAATATCTTCTGCCTAAGGTTTCTGTGAAGCACATAGTGTAATAAAATGCCTTTTTATGGGCCTCCCTGGACAGAAAACCTGCTTGCCATCCTCCCACGGTTAGGATGCAGATGTTGGCCCCCCCTTTTTTTTCTTTCTCTAGGTTTTGTAGTAAAGGCCTAAGCCTTTGGAGAATAGAGAGAGGTAAGAATCAGTCTGCAGGGCTGATAAAGCTGAAGGATGGTTTTGAGAAGCCTGGTTAATGAACTATACTGGAGGAGTCTGTGTTCTTTCATAATTCTTAGGGCAGCAGGGAAAGTCTGCTAGTCTTCGAGATGAGTTGGCTGGGGTCACAGCTAGTGATGATGGCCCTTGCCATCCTGCCAAGATAATAATGATGATAGTAATAACAGTGACCACTTATTGAGTACCTGCTAGGTGCAAGCCATTGGGCTAGAATTCAGTGATGGCGAACCTTTTGAGCTCAGCGTGTCAGCATTTTGAAAAACCCTAACTTAACTCTGGTGCCGTGTCACATATAGAAATGTTTTGATATTTGCAACCATCGTAAAACAAAGATTTATATTTTTGATATTTATTTTATATATTTAAATGCCATTTAACAAAGAAAAATCAACCAAAAAAGAGTTCGCGTGTCACCTCTGACACGCGTGTCATAGGTTCGCCATTACTGGGCTAGATGCTTTATACATGTTGATGTAATGCTTCATAGAACCCTGAGAGAAAAGTGATGTTTTCTTCTCTTAAAAGAAACGAGTTTACTCAGCTAGGAGTACTGGAATCTGGATTTGAACCTAACTCTGTCTGTTACCTAACTCTGTCTGGCCATATTTTTCTCACCATACCACACTATTTTCTGATTAAAGGCACTGGAGCATGGGACAGAACTTAACTGTGTGCTATGACCAGTTCTGGGGTCTATATAATGGTTTGGAAGTTGGATGAGATTGGTGGAGTTGTCATGCCCACCCACCACCCCTCCATGATAACTGTGATATCAATTGGTGATATTTGAGCCTTAGACTTGAAGAGTATCTTTCTCAACCACCATCTAGGTGGAAGAAAGATAAAACCAACTGCAGACTGAGCTACATTTTTTTGTTTCTTTTTTTTTAATGAAAAATTCAACATATACCAAAATAGAATAATATAATAAACCCCCATAACATTTTTCAAGTTTTTGCTACCCTTTGAATTGCATTTTTTAAAAGATATATTTTATTGATTTCTTACAGAGAGGAAGGGAGAGGGATAGAGAGTTAGAAACATCGATGAGAGAGAAACATCGATCAGCTGCCTCCTGCACACTCCCCACTGAGTATGTGCCTGCAACCAAGGTACATGCCCTTGACCGGAATCAAACCTGGGACCCTTGAGTCCCCAGGCCGACGCTCTATCCATTGAGCCAAACCAGTCAGGGCTTGAATTGCATTTTAAATTTCAGCAGGCCTCATAAGTGATGAGCTTTTCCCAGAGATATCCCAGTCTTCCGAAGCTGCTTCCACTCCTCAGTGACCTCTCCCAGACTGCATTCCTCAACCTGACCCTTAATCTTATAGATGGCCTGCTGGTTATCTTACTTTCTGTCTCTGGCCATCCTTCAGGGGCTGCAGAAAAGAGCTGTAAACATGGAGCTGAGGACCGGACCCAGAACATTATCATGGCCATGAAGGACCGCATGAAGATCCGAGAGCGTAATAAGCCTGAGATCTTTGAAGTTATCCGGGATGTCTTCACTGTGAGCAAAGTTGCCCATGTGCAACAGATGAAAACAGTGAAGCAGAGTGTACTGGATGGCACCTCCAAATGGTCGGCCAAGATTACTATCACTGGTGAGTAGGCCTAAGTGTAAGGAGACAGGAAGCACTAGGCTATGGAGAGGAGCCTAGGGAAGAAGTCATCTGAGTGTGTGGGAGCCAAAGGGCTGGGAAGAAAGAAGACAGAACTGAGGGAAAGAAAGAGGGCTCATTATTCATCACTCCTCTTCTCCTAGGAGGCTGGGAGAGGTAAGACTGGCACCTGCAAACAATATGAGTGATAACTGAAGGATTTGGTAATAATCTGATATTATGGACTTGATTGACAATCTGATAATATAAGAGCTGGGGGTGGAGGAGAAGGGGCTGGTAGGAGATCAGGAAATAGTTAACCAGGGACTAATTATATTAGCTGGGTGGATGTGGCTGAAGGGTGCATCCATCAGAGACGATAAGGAACAGTTTAGGGGTAAGTGATCACTTAGGGTTTTGATGGGGAGCTGAGATTCTTGAAGGAAAGGCTGGTGGCTTGGGACAAAAGGTAGATCTGGAGGAGTTCCTGTGAAGAAGCAGAGAGAGGCTTTTCTAAGATGGAGAATGTACGAGTCATGCTTTGGAGGATTTCTGACTTCTGGAGCATACTTTGAAGTCTCCTCTATGTATTTGGGTTGCAGTGGTGTGTGCTCAGGGCCTGCAAGCCAAGGACAAGACAGGATCCAGTGACCCTTATGTGACTGTGCAAGTGGGTAAAACCAAGAAGCGTACCAAGACCATTTTTGGGAATCTGAATCCTGTTTGGGAGGAGAAGTTCCATTTGTAAGTCACAGAGGTCTTTGTCTTACCTGGTACTATGTGTATTTGGGGAGCAACACTAAATCCTGTTATTCCGGGCTTGGCCCCTAAGAGGGATGGGGCAGAGACAGTGGAGAAAACCCATTTCTCACATGCTTTAATTGGGCAGCAGCCATTTTTTTCTGGTTTTCTTCTCATGGACTGTTGTATCAGGGTTACTTTACCCAAACCCTATCTTAACTAGGGTTATTAATGGGGATCCTGGGCACTTCATACTGCTTTTTCTAGCATTAGAAAGATTTTATTACTGCTCAGTTACAGGACCAGGGACTGACCACCCTATTGTGTACCTCCCAGCACTGCCACCATGCCTGGAAAAGGTTAGGCTATTCTGGGAAATGGGGAAGAAATGTCCTTGTCCTACGACTGGGTATTTCTGGCTTGAAGGAAGAAATAAGCAGTCTGGAGGAGTTTCCATTTCACCTAAAAGGGCTCTGCTTTTCTTTCTGCCTCAGCTCCCCCCATTCCCACCCAACTCCCAACCCCACCAATTCTTTTCCTATTATCTCACTTTATTAGACTACTTTATAAGATAGTAAGAGATGGTTGTTGAAAGCTCTAGTCTGGGATTTGGACTAATGTCTGGAGAATCAAGATGCTTTGTCACACCCCTAAGGCCCAGGACCAGGACTTGAAGGCTGGATGAGCTAAGCAGGCTGGCCATATAGAGACCTTCTGTTGGCTCCTTGGAGAACTCATGTGAAAAGAGATTGATTGGGGCCTAGTAAAATCACTCTCCACTCCAGAGGCAATAGTTACTGGGGGATCACTTGGTTTTTTGAGAATCTGAATGGTTCTTGCTTGAATCCTTCTTATGATTTATTCTAAATGAATTGACTCTGTTGTCAATTTTCCCACTTTTATCCATTTAGTAAACTATTCATCAAGCCCCTATTCTGTACAAGACACTGTACATGATATTTTGTATCTAAAAATGAATAAGGCAGTCTCTGGTTTCAAGAAGCTCATTGTTGATTTGTTTATTATTTTATCAGTACACCAGTAGTTATACTATTATATTTTAATGAACATGCAAAGATATTATGAGAACACAGAGAAAGGAGCAGCAAATTCTGTCAAGTGCAACTTTTGGGTGAGGCAACAGGACCCAGAAAGCAACTGTTTGGGAAGGAGGTGGAAGGGGCTGGGACCTGGGCAAATTCCCTTCTCCAGAGCAAACACCATAGAGGAAATGATCATTCAAGTGGGTATTAAAGAATGATAGAAGTTCACCAAGCACATACGTAGATACATGGAGGAGCTAGATAGAAAGTTAAGTAGATATGACAAGGTGGACATGCCATGAACATTAACACCTTTACTAACTCTGGAGAGGGAACTAGCAGTTGCTTCCTAGGGCTCTGTAGCATCTTTCCAGCTGTTTTCCTCTGGGTGCTATTGATATAGCTAGCTGCACAGGAAATCAGAATTATCTCTGATTACTCTTCTTTCCCCTCTTTTTTTTTTTTTTTTTTTTAAATCCGACTGGATAATGGTATATAGAGCCACCCAGGCTGAGGAATGAAGAGCCATTTGCTGGGATAGCTTGACTCCCGTGGAACTTTAGTACCACTTTCTCTAACTCCTTCTCTGCCTCTGTAGGGCTTCAAGTGTAGTTGATGGAGCTTTGGGAGGGAATTGGAATGGGGCTGCTGGGTCTGTCCCTAACAGAGCCTGCCTAATTCTGTCACAGTGAGTGCCACAACTCTTCTGACCGGATTAAGGTACGTGTGTGGGATGAGGATGATGACATCAAGTCGAGAGTAAAGCAGCGGCTAAAGCGAGAGTCTGATGATTTTCTTGGCCAAACCATCATCGAGGTTCGGACACTGAGTGGCGAGATGGATGTCTGGTACAACCTGGGTGAGGAAACAGCACCAGAGAAAGTTGGTGGGAAGGGAGAGAATGAATGAGGAACTTAGAGAAAATACTATCTACCAAAACTACCACTCAATTGCTAAAGCATACCTCTATGCAGAACCTGCCTTCCCTGTAGAGAACCGACCATGGGTAAAGATGGGGGACAGAGGAGTGGGTGTGGCTTGAACTCGCTCTGGCTGGACATTCTCCAGATTTCAAGAATCCCTTTAATCTTCATACACATCCCAGTGCCTTTAGTTCCATATTCTTCTAATGGAATAGGAGGGTTCCTATTGGGAATATTTGGGGTGTTTGTGGACTATATGGTCACTCGAGTGAGTTCACCCTGTTAGGTGAACCCTGGGGTTAGTGCCTCCTTTTCATTGGGTTAAGCCAGAGTGGTAACTGTCCACGTTGTCTGTCTGTAGTTGCATTGGTGTCAATTTCCATCTTTCCTTCCTAGAGAAGAGGACAGATAAATCAGCCGTCTCAGGGGCTATTCGACTGCAAATCAATGTGGAAATCAAGGGGGAGGAGAAGGTTGCCCCGTATCATGTGCAGTACACGTGTCTCCATGAGGTGAGCCAGCCCTTGGTAGATGGGGTGCTAGAAAGCAATGCTGGGAGGGGCCTTTGATAATGAATAGGATTGCTAGATGGTTGAAGATTTGGAGCCTGTTTTTTATTTTATCCTTGGCTTACTGTGCTACTTAGACAGCCCAAGTAACAGTCCCAGCTTCAGTTCTCTTTCACTAACAGCCTACTAGGGCCACAGGAGGAACTGAGCAATGACTTGAAGGACAGAATTTCTGAGAAACCCTGGACCTTACCACCAGATTTTTTTTAACTATATACTTAACTCCTTCCTTTGCTCTGTCTTCTGCAGAACCTTTTCCATTACCTCACAGACATTCAGGGCAATGGAGGAGTCCAGATCCCTGAGGCCCGAGGAGACGATGCCTGGAAGGTGTACTTTGATGAGACTGCCCAAGAAATTGTGGATGAATTTGCTATGCGCTATGGCATCGAATCTATATATCAGGCCATGACGTGAGACTCTCCTGGGGTTTTGGGATGTGGCTACTAACCCTTGGGGTGGCTAATGAAGGCACACTGCCAGGGTAGACAGTTCCTTAGCAGGGTAATATGCAGTGATTCATTGCTTTCCTCTCTGAGCTAAGTCAGGTACATGTATGCCCCAAGGCAAAGAGGGTATGTGTATAAAGGGAGTGTGTTTATCAATGACTCAGGAAGAAGGTACTTGTCTGTCTACCCCAGAGTTCAGACAGAAGGGACAAGGGCACGGGAGGGTATGCAAAGACAAACGTAAACATCACAGGCCTGAGGAGATAGGGCATGTGTGCTCATCTATATGTGTGTGACAGACCAGCTTTCTTAGATTGGTGTGGATGTTGGAAAGGGCACTGAACTGTAGGGAAAGCAGCTGGAGTTGACCAGGACTCCTCCTATAATAGAATTCCCGTCTACTATGAGAAGTACAGTTTGTCTATTGGTGAGGCTGCACAGGAAGCAGCCCTGGGTAAGCAGAGGGTAACTGTTGCTCTGGCTGTACTCATTTATTCTGAAATTTGTATTGAGTTCCTTCTGTGTGCCACACATTGTGCTAGGTGTTGAGAACACAAAGATGAGTAAGATGGGGCCTCTGTGCTTGGGGAACTTATTCTAGCAGGAGAGATGGACCAGTAAACAAGCAGTTACAATACAGTGTGGTAAGTGCTGTGATAGAAGTAATCCCAGGGTATTATGAGAGCATCTGCATTTTAGGGGAGGCCTGTGAAGGAAGCCATTAAAGAGTTGACACTTGAACTAAATCTTGAAATACAGAAAAGGAGGGAGGGCCCTTTTAGTAGGGCATTTACTGGGGTACTCAGATACTACAGAGCAAAGGACATTCAAGGAATTACAAGAAGTTCAGTATAGATGAAGAAAAGAAATATGGTGAGCAATGAGGTTTAAGAATGGTCCTCTGACATTCTTATCTGTTCGCTCTCCCTAGATGATCTTATCCCAACCTGTGATCTCAACCATTACTTTTAGGATCAGGATTCCCAGGTCACTTTCTCCAGATCAGGCCTTTTCCTGAATTTCAGATCCATTTTCAGCTGCTTCCTGGGTATTCATTCCCATAGGCATTGTAAATCCAGCCTGCCTAAATTCCAAATCAACACTGTCTTCACCCAATATGCTTATCTTCGTATATTCTCTATTTGAGTAAATGGTATGATTTTCTATGCAGTTGTCCAAAAAAATTTAGGAGTCAGCCTAAACTTTTCTTTTTTACTTGCTACTGTATCTTTAACTCCCAACATCCAGTTTCTAAAACCTCTAGTTTCTATCTCCTAAAAATGTTTTTAATCTATCACTATTACTATAGCTCAACAATAATGATAATAATAACAACTTGTATATAGCATTTCCTTATGTGTCAGGCACTGGTCTAAGCATATTATAAATGTGAACTTATTTAATACTCATATCAACTCTATGAAGTAGGTATCATTATTAACCATTTTACGGATAAGAAAACTGAGACATAGAGAACTTTAAGTAATTTATCCAAGGAGAGTGAATGGTGGGGGTGAGATTCAAACCCACAGTCTGACTCTAGAGTTTGTGCTCTTAACCTTTTTTCTGTTCTATTTAGTGCTTTGTTGCTTCTTTTCTGAATTATTGCAATAACTCTCCAAGTGATCTTTCTGTCTTATTCTTATCTTTATCCTAGTCTTTTCTTTCCAATTTATCATCAAAGGGACCTTTCTCAAAGACTAATCCGATCACACTACACTTTTGTTTAAAAATTTACTTTAGCATTTAGGATAAACTCTTTTATTATCTATTCTCTATCTACTTCTCTTGCATTTCTTGGTATTCCTCTATCAGACACCTTAACAATAGCCAAACTGTTGTTTCCCAAATAAATCACTCTGTCATGAATATATTTGTTTTTTTGTATGCAATTTCCCTTTGTGTATACATTTCTCCATTTGATTAATTCTTACTAATCCTTTAAGACTTGTTTCAACCATCTCTTCTTTGGGAAGCCTTTTCTAA